TATTGTCACTGTCTCCTGAACATTTTAGATTTTCTCAACGGAGCAATATTATCCTTCAGAGAACTAAGTATAACAAATTCCACGTATTCCTAAAACTGAAAATTTAACTTCCTTCAGAACAATGCTAACGACCTATCAAGTACTGAAATACTTTCAAAAATCACTTATATAAATCAAAATCTCAACTCACACAAAAGAATAAAAAATACCTATGCAACTGGTTTCAAAATGTATTGTGTATTTCTTTATTAATCAAAAGGCAGAAAAAGGGTAGGATCTGACATAAAATTATTTTATATTAACCTTGACAATGCATTCAATGAAATGTACTATCATCAATAAACAAGCACCCAATTTTCAATGTGCATTCAGAATCATCTTTATTTAGTGATCTCTGGTTTGTAAAGAAAAATCAAAATACTCAAAAACCAATAAATTATCTGATTGAAATTTGTACTCATCTCAATTCGAATAATGTTCTCCTTTTACTGCCTTGCCACTCCCATAGAAAAACACAAAACTTTTAAGTTATGAATCTGAAAAGAGTGTAAGAATGTGTTTACCAGAATGTTAAGTGGAATGCTGGGCAATATTCTTTTCTCCCAAAAGTAAATAGAAAAAAAGGCCATTTAGAAGGCCATTCCTTTTAGAACATACCTCCTTCCTTCAGAAAGGACCTTCACACTCACACTTACTCAAGCACACAAACACACACATATGCAAACACACCAAAACAAATATAAATTAAAAACTCAAGGATAATTTTTGTAAGTTTCTTTATTACAAAAATATATGCTTCTAGTTTTAAGAAAAATCCAACCATAAAATAGGTATAAAGTAAAAAGTTAAAGTTCCCCCGCCCCAAATCCTTGACCATTCACTTAACTGCCCTTCTCGAAAAATACCCATACTTCCACGATTGCTTGTGTAGCCTTACAGACATTTTTATGTATCTATATGCAAATCTTTTTTGTTTTAAACACAAATTGCAGCATACTATAGGAAGTTTTTAACTTGTTTTTAAATATTCTGGTTATCTTTCCTTGTCAGTATGTGTAAATCTAATTCATGTTTTCATAGTTGCATAGTATTCCATTGAGTATTTCTTGGGCATTTCCCTTCTGTAGAAATTTAGGTTAACTCCATCCAGCTGTTTACTCTTGCAAACCACACTGCAACGAGCATCACTATACAGAACATCATTACACAATAATATCAATATTATCTATAAGATAAATTCCTTAAAAAGACAGAAAAAGATACTGTCAAACAGCAGCGTAGGCAGAATCCTTTTTCCCTGTCTCTTCAACCAATTCTGGGTATTGTCTTTTTAGTCTTCAGCAATGTGGTAGAGGAAAATGGTATCTCATTTTTATTTGCATCTTTTTTTTTTTTTTTAAGACGGAGTCTTATAAAAAGACTGTCACCCAGGCTGGAGCGCAGTGGCGCGATCTCGGCTCACTGCAACGTCTGCTTCCCAGGTTCTAACGACTCTCCTGCCCCAGCCTCCCGAGTAGTTGGGATTACAGGCACCCGCAACCGCTCTAATTTTTGTATTTTTAGTAGTGATAAGGTTTCCCCATGTTGGCCGGGCTGGTCTCTAACTCCTGACCTCAAGTGATCCACCCACCTCAGCCTCCCAACTGCTGGGATTACAGGCATGAGCCACCACGCTGAGCCTATTTGCATCTCTTTATGTAAGAAAGAAGACGAGTATGTTTATTGGCCATCTACGTCTTTCTCTCTGAAATGTGTTGCCCATTTTCCTATTGGGTTATCCATCTCCCTTCTTGACAATTTTTATAAGTTTTCTACCAACCTTTGGTCCAATGTGCTGTAAATATTTGGCCGAATTAACTGCTAAATTTGATTTGTAGTGTTTTCAGCCCTATGGAAACTTTTCAATTTTTTTTTTTTTTTTTCCTCTTGAGACAGTCTCAGTCTGTTGCCCAGGCTGGAGTGTGCAATGGTGCGATCTCAGTTCAGTGCAACCTCCGCTTCCCAGATTCAAGCCATTCTCCTGCCTCAGCCTCCCAAGTAGCTGAGATTACAGGCATGTGCCACGATGCCTAATTTTTGTAATTTTTGGTAGAGGCGGGGTTTCATCACGTTGGCCAGGCTGCTCTCGAACTCCTGACCTCAAGTGATCTGCCCACCTCAGCCTCCCAAAGTGCTGGGATGACAGGCACGACTCACTGCGCCCGGCCCTTTTTTATTTTTATCCAATTAAATTTATCTATCTTTTCCTCTATAACTTTGAGTTTCAGGTCATACCAGGGAAGCTCTTTGCTAGACAATAACTTGGAAAATTTTTTTATGTAACTTCTAAATCATTACTTAAATGATGTCAATAATACATACATACCAGCACCTGCAGAGACAGCTCTCTTCCAATATCAATATCAATTTTTTTTCTTTTTTGAGATAGAGTCTTACTCCGTCACCCAGGCTGGAGTGCAGTGGTACGATCTTGGCTCACCGAAACCTCCGCCTCCTGGGCTCAAGTGATCCTTCCATCTCAGCCTCCCAAGTAGCTGGGACCACAGATGCCTGCCACCACACCTGGCTAAGTTTTTCTATTTTTGGTAGGGGCAGGGTTTCACCATGTTGCCCAGTCTGGTCTAGAACTTCTGAGCTCAAGCGATCAACCCACCTCAACCTCCCAAAGTTCAGGGATTACAGGTGTGAGCCACCGTGCCCGGCAATATAAATTACTTAACAAAAATAAGCCAACTACTCTTTCTCTAACACTTTCCTGTAATCAATTGATGGGCAAGCTCTGTGCCAATTAAATATTGCTTACAACTACTGTAACAAAGGTTTAATTTTTTCCCTTAAAGTTCTTAAAATCTAGAAGTTGAAAAACAGTAATTACCCATAGATTTAATTTCTGACAAGCCCCTCAATCCTGAAACTATCAACAGCATAAATGTAAAATAAAGTCCAACAACTAGATTTTCCCTGTTGTAATTTAGTCATCTCTACAAAAGTCAATGAATACTTTCTGTATAAACTTGTAATTCTGCAATACCAGAAAACTGCTTTACGGTGCTATCAACGAAGTATTCTGTTCTTTTCCATTTCAGGAAACTAAAACAAACAAAAGAGTTCCACCTCAAATCAAAATTATAAAATAAGCCTTTCAAGTTAGCATATCAAGTCAAACCACCACTTGAAGCTAAATTAAATGGTTAATCTAGCCACCCTCTCTCTGTTCCCCATAAAGGGGGGTGGGTGAACCCTGATCATAAGTGTTCTATCTCACAGTGCCAGCTGCCAGGCATATAACAGCCTTCCATCTCTAAAGCTGACTGGCACAACAAGTAATACAACCTGGAAGTTAAGGCAAATGGCAGAACTCAGATGGGAAAAAAGAATATTTTCCACAATTTGTATAGCACTTGTTTAGCACGTATGTGTTTCTTAAGTGGTGGTCAACTCTTCAAACTACATGAGAAACATCACACCACTTCACGTCAACCACTGCCAGTTCCATTCAGTGGCCTCCTTCCCCTTTGGGGACTATTCAAAAAGTTACTATTTTCTTTTACAACTACTCACCCAGGCCTCTTCCACTGATGAAAGCAGGCAAAGCCCACGCTGTGTGTCTGTCTCCTAGAGAAGATTGCCTCTTTTATTTATCGCCCCTTGGCTTTATTTTCACAGTGAATTCCTGGCTTAAATGCAATCAGCCAAGAAACCCTCCCTATGTGCTCTCCTGTCATTCCTCATTGCTTGCAAGCAGAGTCAAGCACAGGGAGAGGAAAAAAAAAAAAAAAAAAAAAAAACCCTCAACATTGCCAGCCAAGCCATAAAAATTCGCAGACTCTAGTTTATAACACTGAGAAGCCATAGATGTGCTTCCATCCATCTCCAACCGGCAGGAAACAGACAAACAAAAAAAAGGTATAACTTCAAAAAATGTTAATTAGATTTGTTTTAAGGGGAAAAAAGGATAGCTGAATAGCCTCAAAAGCTAAACCCTCTCTAGACAGAAGGAGAAAGTGCCCAACATAGAAAAGGCAACACTGGGGGCTGCCTTTGGAAATAAATGACCATGCAGAAAATCACGTTTACAGATTGCATTAGAATTCAAATTAACCAGACGGGATTAAAACAAATCTTAATTCTCTCTTGGGGCCCCTATCCAGACCCCCACCCCACTCCCAAAGAAAAGAATGATAAAAGGAACTGACTACAGAAAGAGAAAAAGGATTAAGTTAAAAATCAAAGAGATAGAGATGCGTCCAAATCTAACTCCATTCATTCCGTGCCGGGTTCAGTATGCTACAATTTCAAGTACACTAACAAGAGAAGGGGTCAGAAAATATGCCATTTGTAATCAGGAAAAAAAAAATAGGAAGTTTCACTATAGCATTCATTGTTCTTTTCAGTCTGGCTCAAACATTCCCATCGCTATGGCTGAAAAAGATCTGGACGGGGAAAAAGAATATTTTGGGGGAAGGGGGACAGGGGACGCTTTTAAACTAAGGTATTTGAGAAAACTCTCAGGATCTGTCAGAGAAAGGAGGGCTGTGCAGCTCTAAATCACAAGTCCTTCTCTCGCCTTTGTCAAATATCTTCTACTTTACAAGCCCTGAAAAGAAATAGAGAGACTCTTTTGTTTGGTTTCTCCTTTTCGGAGGGTGACAGAAAACTGAAAGGGGCACAAATAAACCTGAAAATGAGAACAAAGTGCTGGGTCGTGCCGGGCTGCCGCGCCGCGGGGACGCGGGAGCAGCAGCCTAGCCCAGTGTCTCGCGCTCCTGCAGCCCGCTCTCCCCTCTGGCTGCGAGCGGCAAATCCGCAACTGCTGACCGCGGCTTGCCCGGGGCACCACGACCTGACCACCCAGCGCAAACAAAACTCGGGCGGTGGGGTACAAGGGCTGCGCCGCGGCCCGCACAGTGGCGTCTGGAGGCAGTTCCACAAAAAAGGGAAGCGCGAGCGGCTCCTCCTCGGGCTCGCGCCCTTTAATTAGGGGGCGTCCTCCGGCAGAGATGTCCCTCCGGAGACGAGTCCGGTCCGCCGCCACCTCCCCCCTGCGCCGCTTGGAGACTGAGGAGACGGAAAGAAAAAGACATTTAAAGCCGGGGCGGCCGATGGAGCTCGCCCGGGCCAGACACCACAGCGACCCCGGGAGCGCAGCGGCCGCTCTCCCGTCGGAGCCCTGGGAGAAGCGGTCGCCGAGCGGCTTTAAATGTATTCCCCTCCCCTCAAATCGCGTGGGGCGGGGGCCAAAAAGAAAAAAGAGCGAGCGACAGGCAGTGAAAGGGGGGGAGCGCCGAGCGGCCG